AGTCAGAAGATTTTAAATGTATTGGGTATTTGTATCCTGAAGGGCCCAAGCCAGGCCTTCAAGACTAAGTGTTAGAGAAGGGTCTTAATTTAGTGGCTACAGAATTCTGTGGGTATTTTAGATTAAGATTGGCTTCAGGCTTACATTTGAACTCTATATACCACTTACCTCCTCGGTACGTAAATTAGTCAATCTCTGTTAAAAAACCTGACGTTTATTCAAATCAAACCTCATGCCCGTTCCTGTCACTCCCACAACCAGGCCACTGCACGGCCCATCTCAGGTAGACCTTATGGACAAATTACTGTTCAAACTCAGGTCAAACGTGGGCACTTTCCCCTGTGTGGGAAGGTATGTTTCTTTTCACAAACTGAAGAAAAACTGACTTCTACTATTAAGAACTGACACTTCTCAGCACGTTAATTTTATAGAGTACTTTATGTGTTTTATATACATTATACATTTTTACCAAAATCTATGTTTATTGCATCATTATTTTCACATGTATAATTCTGAGCACACAGTAAGTATTCAATAAATGCCAGGTTAATCAAGTCTTTTTAAAGAAGTTATAGCATATAACATAACAACATAGCATAGCATTGAAGTTAACTGAGACAGGTTTGTAATTACAGATAATGGAAGGTTTGAAAGCAATGGTGGAGAAAATTCAGAATAAAGCACAATGAGGCATGTGGCATTTTGTTGAGGACAGAAGGAGAATTGATGATGCCTTTGAGCTGTGGTGCTGGAGAAGAGTATTGAATGTACCACGGACTACCAAGAAAACAAACAGATTCATCTTGGAGAGGGCTAAACCAGGCTGCTCCTTGGAGACAAAGATTCTGAGGCTTCATCTAACATACTTTGGACATGTTGTAAGGAGGGACAGGTCCTTGGAGAGGGACATCATGCTTGGGAGGGTGGAGGGACAGCGCAGGAGAGGAAGACCCTCTATGAGATGGACTGACTCGGTGACTGGGGTAATCGGGATGGGTGTGTCAGAGGCAGTGCGATTGGCACAGGATAGAGCAAGGTTTAGGGCTGTTGTACATAGCGTCGCTATGAGTCGCAAGCGACTCGACGGCACGTGGCAACAACAACAACATAGCATAGCACAGAAGTTAACTGAGACAGGTTTGTAATTACAGATAATGGAGAGTCTGAAAGCAATGGTGAAGAAAATTCAGAATAAAGCACAATGAGGCATGTGGCATTGTTATTTTTTTGTTTTTGGGTTTGTTTTTTGGGTTGGGGTTTTTTTTCCTGATATAAAGAAAGAAAACACACTGATCCAATCATCGTTCTTCCCATCTCATTTTATCTCCCTAGAGACTGCCTAAATTCTTTCTCAAAGGAAAACCTCACTGAAATTATTATTACGTGTTATTGTTAAATACTTCCTTCACATGAGACATAAAAGTCATTCCATAACTTTAGTTCCTTATCATTATTTACATACTTGCAGAAAATGTACAATCTCTCAGTGCTGGAAATTCTCTAAGAAAAAGTCAGTGCTTAATCCATTGTCATGATCTCCTGACTTTTGATGTTAACAGTTGTTGTTGTTGTTGTTAAGTGCCATCAAGTCCCAGGAGACTCACAGTGACCCGATGAAGGATGAAGGAGAGTCCTCAACGCTTGGGTGCCTTTCATCCTCTCTCCAGGTTCATAGAAGGCAAGCTATTATGGAAGTTGGTTGCCACTCCTCCTTCCACGCTTGTTTTAATCTGGGAGCTCCACCCCACTCTCTGTCCGCATTGGGTAGCCAATCATTAACGCATTTGACACACCGGTGTCACGGTGTTCAGCCTCACAGCAACCAAAAGTGAACAACAGTAGTATGACATATATTTCTCAAGTTAATGCCTTACCCATGCATTACTTTACTGTAGCCTAGGTAACTTCCTTTCATACACAGTATCACATTTGTGTCCTAAAAGCAACACTTTGGAATATACAGTTAAATATTAGTATTACAACCTTACAGCACCCCAAAAAGCAATTTTTTTTGGTTGCAGCTATAAGGCAATTTCCCTAAAGGCTAAAGGGGTGGTCTTGCTTGTTCTCAGTGGACTCCACAAGTTTAACATCGGGTCTGGCATATAGTAAACGTTCTACAAATATTTACTTAATGAATAAGTCAATTCCCTTATCTGGTTTAAGCCCTTTTTAGTAGAAGGCAGATTAGGGAGCCATGACCCAGCACAGTGGTCTGTTCACTATCAAAAGGACATTATGTGAAAATGCTCTAAACAGAACAAAACCACAACAAACAAAAACAGAGGTTAACACTAAGAATAAGAATAAAAATCCTTGGTAAAATAAATTCCATGCACATCAAACGGTGAATATCTAAGGCTTCAAATGTTCCTAGCAAAGTTCTTCAGAAAACAGAGTTAAAAGAAAAGTAGGGCTATCATTCATGGAGCTGCCAATGTTTTATGGCAAACATTCATCGGTCATAATTTGCTCTCAATTTGACTGAAAATCCGTACTTTTGATAATGATGACGTATTTACAGATTAATGTCTGAAATATATGGGATTATCATTAGCCCCTGAAAGTCCAGTGGGGGGGAAGACAATGCAGTGAACATGGGTAAGTGTTCCATTTTTAGAAGCAACTTACACAAATCTAACAGACAAGAACTCTTGGATCTATAAGGCTAAAATCTAATTTACACAACAGGACAAGTTATAAATTATAATCATTCACTGATTACAGTGATATTCTGGACTTTGCCATTTCAATCAATAAATACTTCACATGACCCCTGACAGGTGCCAATTAAGTCCTAAATATTCTGTTAGTCACCCAAGAAAAGTTTTTCTAGGTATTTTTCATTTTCTATTTCCACCCTCTACTCCCCGCCCCCTCCAAAAGAAAGATGGGGCTTTGGGGAAATTAGATAATCCTGAGTCTGTGTGAGAGATGAAGTTGCACAGGGATCACTCTCGTCCTGTAAGGAAGCGTGTGTCTGTCTAACATCAGGGTCATCCACATTTCCTGCTCAACCTGTCATTAGACCCTTCTCTGCACCTGCCCTTAAGCACCAAAGTGAACGCTCCTTGGCTCTAAATGCATTCCCAGTCGGTCTGGAAACTAATAAATGACTGCATGCTGCAAAACAACCTTGGCGATTCCTGAAAATCTACAACAGGAAATGTGACTATTCTCCACCCTCTTTGGCCATTCATCAAAAGCACATCTAGTCACAGCAACAGGGAAGCCAGTGGCAGAAAGCAAGTGTCATGACCACTTGTCCTCATTTAGAAAGACTAGGGTATGTTCTAATTCCATAACCAAATGCAGAGAGTACACTGCATAAAGGAGGCTACACAGAAAGAAACAGTTAAATAAAATATCTTGCATTTCAAATACTGCGGCGGAGTTACAAACAGTGAAAACCATCCCGAGTATGTAAAAATCTCAACTGCTCGTTGCAGGAGCCCCATTTTCTGATTACAAAAGGTCCTGCCTGCCCCACTGACCCAGGCACTTCATCTTGCGCGTATCACTGTCCCCTGAGTACCCCTCCAGCTCAGAGTGTAAATGCACCGAGAACTGGAACCTAAGGGAGACCTCTGCATCCTTCGGTGGAGACTGAGTTAGCATCTCAAGACGCTGAACTTGGAGAAGCTTCTCTAGCCCCTCACGGGTGCTGGCTGCCGGGCTGTGCCACCGCGAGCGCACGGGCCGGCACTGCGATTGGCCGTGGCGTGCACTGCTTGGTGGGCGAGCCCCGCCGGCAAGGCGGAAAGGAAGTGGCGGCCGTGGCTTTGCACCTATCATGTTCAGCCGCTGGGCAAATGTCACCCAGTGCCCGGAGCCCGGCTGGAGGGAGCAGGGCGGACATTCACTGCCCACCCCTTTGCAGCCCGCGCCCAGGACCCCAAGGGGCCGGCAGCACCCACGCCTGTCCGCAGGGCGCCGCTCGGTCCCCGGGGCTCCCCGCCCCCACCTCGCCCGCTCCGTAGCCGAGGCGGGTCAGGCCCAGCGCGGGAGGCCGGCCCTGGGGCGCAAGGACCTGAGGCTCCCGGTGCTAGGCCGCGGCAGGGCAGATGACCCCTCGGGGTGGCGCACTCCCGGGACACGCCGCCCAAGCCCCTCGCGTGCTGGGACAAGTGTAGTGACAAAGCCCGAGGGCCAGGCCCGGCGCTGGCCGGCGGGAAGGAGGACGCAGCGTCCCTCCCGAGCGGCGGCGGCCCAGCCCCCAGGAAGCCGGGCGCGCTGGCCAGGCCCCGCTCCCAGCCCGCCCGCAGCCGGGTCAGGGCGCTGGCACCCAGCGCCCGTGTCCGCTGGCCGAGCCGTGCAGGCCGGTGAACCCTGGGGCTTCAGCCGGCCGGGCTCCCCACTAAGTTTCCTTTGGCCTTGGCGAAAGCAGCCTGTCCCACCAGGGGAGCGGACAGCCGGGCGCGCGGCGGGTTCCTGCTTCGTAACGCTAGAGGCTGCCCAGAGGGGCGCCACCGACGGGCACCAAGGACCTGCTCCCTTCCTTGGTGCTGGTGGTGGCGGCTGTAAACACACACGCACACACACACAATTTTGTTTTAAAAGGAGGCCAGACTCCAGCCGACTCAGACTCGCACACACAACATCTAGGGCGCAGAACCACACAGAACAGGTCTCAGTCCATGGAGCCACCTCTCCTCATCTGCAAATCCAAAAGTGAAATTAAACCTCCACCAACCTCCTCCTCCTCCTCCTCCCTCCCTCCCTGTCTACCTCCTCCTCCTCCTCCTCCTCACAGCCTCAGCACCCCAGTAGCAGCAGCAACAGCAGCAGAACCTGCTTCCCCTAAAATCAGATGATCCATACTTGCACCGACTGTTCCTCCAAAAATCAGTATTAATATTTATGAACCCCGGCATTTCCGTCTGCAAAACATCGTGTCAAACCATCAGGACATACTAACACACAAATCTCCTCCAGTCCTCATAAACATGCCCCCGAGCAAAACGCACAAGCAGTCACAACTATTATTTGAAAAATGTTACCTCTCAGTGTGCTTTTTCACGCTACCAATACAATTCCGCAAGGTTTAAGTGTTGCTAGGGTGTGTGAAATGGAAATGAAAGCCCGTCAGTTGAATAATCGCAGGAGCAAAACTAAAAGTTACTCCCCGGCTTGCCTGAGAACAGTCCAGATCGAAAGCAAAACAAGGAGAGGAAACTGCGAAGAGCCGAGGCTGGAAATCCCCCCACCCTCCGCCCTCCTCCAGCCTCCCTCCCTCCCTCCCGCACCCTCCCCCCTCGGCTCTCCTCCCTCCGCCCTTCCTCCCCAGTGTTTGTTTCAAGCTTGTGCAACCGGGAGGTGGAGGCGGAGGCAGGGCGCGAGCGGCCGGGCGGGGAGGTGCGGAAGTTCGCCGCTGCTGTTCATTGGCAGGCAGGCCGGCTTTCATCATTTCTCCGAAAAGTCAATTTCATTTTCACTTCCCCTTGTCGTGGCAGCAGTAGCAACAAGCGGCTGCTCTTGAAACTGTGGCTTATACACAGGGGCGCTCACACTCACTGCATAAACAGTCAAGCTGGAGGTCCGGGCATGGTGGGGTGCGAGCTTTGGACCAGGCCAAATGCTAGAGGCAGTAGCAGAGAAAAAGCAGGTACCCGACAGTTGGTGAGGGGGGAAGTGTCAGGAAGTACAGGTTTTTGTATCCAGTTAGTAGCGCGGGTGGAAAGGACTTTCAGGACTGCTTTTTTTGTTTCTTTCCCAAAGTAAATAAAAATGCAGGTTGTGAAAGGAGTAATAAGGACAACTAACAGGGATCTGGAAAGACGGGGGTAGGGGTGGGGAAGAATCAACGGCATTACCTAGATAGTGATTCAAGAATTAATTAATTTTATTCTCAACCGAATTTGGATTCTCTACAGTGTTTGAGGGTATAACCATGGCGCTCCTTTGGGGGTTAGGATGATAAATTAAGCCTTCCATGAGTAAATCAACAACCCGAAACAAAAAACTAAACCCACTGCTATTGCGTTTATGCCAACTCAGAGATGCTCCAAAACGGTGTAGCAGGACTTAATTACTGTGGGATAAGATCTTTTTTTCTTAAAGATGCCTGCGGGTGGCTGACTTCCAGCTGTTTCAAATTTGGACTCCGGTAATACTTGCAGGAGCCCTTGCCAATTGTTAAGCACTAGGCTACGAACGTAGAGGCAGGCAGTTTGAATCCAACCAGCCCAGAGGCACCTTTGAAGATAGACCTGTCCATCCAGTATCAAAAGATCACAGCCAAGGCCAATTCTACGTATGGAGCATAGTTCTCCTCCGAAACACATAGGGTCGCCATGAGTTTAACTAAAGAGCTCTGGGGATTGTGCTATCAACCAAAAGGCCAAGCATCTCAGATGATTGGCATTAGTCAGCAGAACCTGAGGTGCCTCCTCTCATTAAGATTTACAGTCTCAGATACCTGATGAAAGGCCTTGCTGTGAGCTAAAATCAACATTGAAGAGTTTGAGTTTGGTTTCAACTTACAAATTGAGCATCCTGGTCCAATTGCTTAAACTAAGATATCAGGTTTTGATGCTATAATTAAAGCTAAATTAGAGAATGCTACACAGGGGCAGCACCTGAAATCTTCCAAGTGTGTTACCTCAAATTAGTGCAACTCACTGCCTATTGCCTTCTGGTTCTTTCCTATAAAAGTGTATGCTCATCTAGTTATAATTCTTCCCACACATCTCCATTGGCCTTCTCCTAAACTTCTCTAGCCAACAAAGAAAATCTTTTCCTGGGAAACCATAGAGCTATTTATATGGTTTTCTTAAAATCAATTCTACACCTATCATTGTTAAAGAATATTGAATTATATGGATGAAAAATGGGAAAACATCCAAATATGCATGTATATTGAGAGTTGAGGGTGTAGGATTCTGTTTTGTGGCAATTGTCTCAAAAATAGATCTCATATGCACACAGAATTCTTAATCCTCTCTTATATAATATCTTAACACAGCCACATTTTTTCATATTTCCTTAACATATAGTATAACTACGGGCAGTTAGAGGCATTGTATACAAACTCTGTAGGGTAACTGCTATTCTTTATGTAGTAGATACCTTTGACATCACCTGCCATCCAATTTATCATATTGTGGCTTGAATGACTCTGGAAGTTATGTATTTAAAATATTAGGATAGTCACACATGTTGGACAGGTTTTAGCAGAGTTTCTAGACTAAAAATAAAAAAGGCTCAAGATCTACTTCCAAAAGTTAGCTAATGAAATCCCTATGAATCACAGCAGAACATTGCCTGACTCACCTTGGACACATTATAAGAGGAGTTAATCTCTAGAGGAGGACTTCATGTGTGATGAAGCAGAAGACAGCAAGGGAAAAGGAGACCCTTATTGGTATTAAAGAGTAGCCACACCATGGATTGAACATGGCATTGATATCCAGGATGATACTATGTATTTCTGCTGTCAACATGCATAAAGTCAACATAAGGCAGAGCCAGATCAACAATAGACAACCTTGATGCCTTCCTTTCCCCCATTCTTATAATGCATGCGGTCTGTCATATCTTATTGGCCTGTTGATCTGGCTACCAAATATCTCTGGGCCTGGCCTTTCTCCATCCTCACCGTACTGCCTTCATTCAATGTTATTGCAGTTGCCTGGTAACGAGTTCTTTGGATCCTAACCTCAGCTCCTCCAGTCTCACATTCACACAATTTTCCAAGTTAAATATAAAATTAACTTTATCTACAGGATCATTTCTATCTAAACTCTGTCACTCAAAAACCTCTTTGTAGTCTTCAGCATAAAGTCTGTGTGACTTGACAAGACATATAAAGTCCATTATAATTTGACAAACCTTTTCTAGTCTCGTCTCCCACCACTGCATCCCACAAATAATTACACCCTTTTTTTTTTTTTTTTTTGCATTGCCAAACCTTTCTGTCAAACAACGGAAAGGTTTGTCTTCTTTTCCATCACTTTATCCTTACAATGATGTCATCTTATAAACATTGAAATTCTTTTTCTTTATTTCTACCCTATGTTTTTTAGGGGGTAGTGTGTGTTTAAATAACAATTTACTATGGTACAAAATTTGGGATGCAGAGAAAAGTTGTTGTTGTTGTTATGTGCCGTCGAGTCGTTTTCGACTCATAGCAACCCTATGCACAACAGCCCTAAACCCTGCTCTATCCTGTGCCAACCGCACTGCCTCCGACACACCCATCCCGATTACCCCAGTCACCAAATCAATCCATCTCATAGAGGGTCTTCCCCTCCTATGCTGTCCCTCCACCCTCCCAAGCATGATGTCCCTCTCTAAGGACCCGTCCCTCCTGGCAACATGTCCAAAGTATGTCAGATGAAGCCCCAGAATCCTTGCCTCCAAGGAGCAGCCTGGTTTAATCCTCTCCAAGATGAATCTGTTTGTTTTCCTGGCAGTCCATGGTACATTCAGTACTCTTCTCCAGCACCACAGCTCAAAAGCATCCACTCTCCTTCTGTCCTCCCTAGTCATTGTCCAACTCTCTGAGGCATAACAAGCGATTGCAAATGCCATGGCCTGTATCAGGCGCACCTTAGTCTCCAGAGAGACACCGTTGCTCCTGAGTACTTTAGAGAGGTCCCTAACAGCAGCCTTTCCCATCGCGGTACGCTTTTTGATTTCCTGACTGCTGGTGCCAAGAGTGTTGACTGTGGAGCCAAGCAAACTGAAGCTGTGAACAATCAATCTCTTCGCCATCCATCCTGACGCTGCCAATTGGTCCAGTGGTGAGAATCTTTGTCTTGTTGACATTGAGCCTCAGTCCATACTGAAGGCTGCAGTCCCTGACCCTTCGCAGCAAGTGCATGAGGTCCTCCTCAGTTTCAGCAAGCAGGGTTGTGTCATCTGCATAACGCAGATTGTTAATAGATCTTCCACCAATCCTGATGCCACAATTCTCCTCATAGAGCCCAGCTTCTCGGATAATCTGCTCTGCATACATGTTGAAAAGGTATGGAGACAGGATGCATCCCTGGCGTACACCCTTCCCAATTTTGAACCATGCAGTGTTACCCTGCTCTGTTCTGACTACTGCCTCTTGATCCAAGTACAGGTTTTGCATTAGCACAATTAAATGTTCTGGGATTCCCATTCTTCTCAGAGTCAGCCACAGTTTGTTATGATCCACACAGTCAAATGCCTTTGCATAATCAATGAAACACAGATAGACATTCTTCTGGTATTCTCTGCTTTCAGCCAAGATCCATCTAACTAACATCAGCAACAATATCCCTAGTACCATGACCCCTTCTAAACCTAGCCTGGACTTCCGGCAGTTCTCTGCTGATTTGCTGTTCTAATCGTTTTTGGATAATCTTCAGTAGAATCTTGCTTGCATGTGAAATCAATGACACTGTTCTGTAGTTTCCACACTCAGTTGGGTCACCTTTCTTTGGAATAGGAACAAATATAGATCTCCTCCAGTCAGTTGGCCAAGTGGTTGTTCTCCAGATTTCTTGGCACAACTTGGTGAGCACATCCAGGGCAACATCTGTTATCTGAAATACTTCAATTGGTATACCATCTATTCCTGGGGCCTTATTTTTTGCTATTTCCTTCAAAGCAGCTTGAACTTCTTCCTTCATCACCATAGGCTCTTGCTCATATGTTATTTCTTTAAATTCCTCTGTAAGAGAAAAGTTGAAAGAAGAATATTAAAAGCCATCAGAAATATTACCACTCAGGAATAGATCTGTTAGTATTTCAGTGCATTTCTTTCCAGTGTTTCTTCTAACAGATCACATTACTCAATTTCTGCATTATTTAATAATTTGGATCATGCCTATCTCCCTTGACACTCTTACACGAAATCCGTATGCAGCTCCTTCTTACGAACTCCTCATTTGCTGTCAAGCGTTTGAATGGTGTGGTTCCAGGCATTCTGTTCTTATTCCTCATGGTTTCTCATTCGTCGTCATGTTTTCTCCATCCCCAGCTGGCATCAAACTGTGTAACTTTTGAGCGACAGACACTCTGTGCCATCAATACACCTCAGGTGCAGCACATTGGTTCAGTCGTCTAACTTTCACCTTCCAGCTAAGAGAGCTAAATTTGATTATGAGCCAATGTACCTCAAGCACAATCACCATCTATCAGAGGAGGTTTGTACATTGCTATGTTGTTAAACAGGTTCAAGCAGAATATACAGACTAAG